GTAGGTAGATATCGTAATTATATTTCGGGATTTACCTTATTTTGCAGAAGAGCTCATTGATTAATAGATTGATTTATCTGTCTATTTGGCTTATATATATATATATATATATATATATATATATATATATATATATATATATATATATATATATATATATATATTATATATATATATATTTATATATATATGTGTGTGTGTGTGTGTGTGTGTGTGTGTGTGTGTGTGTGTGTGTGTGTGTGTGTGTGTGTGTGTGTGTGTGTGTGTGTGTGTGTGTGTGTAATGATATATGAATAATATATGTTATGCATATAATATATGCATAATATATATTATGAAAATAATATGTATATGTATATATATGTATATGTATAATATATATGCATATATATGTATAATTAATATATGTATAATATATATTATGCAAATAATATGTATATGTATATATATGTATAATATATGTATATATATTTATATGTGTGTGTGTGTGTGTGTGTGTGTGTGTGTGTGTGTGTGTGTGTGTGTGTGTGTGTGTGTGTGTGTGTGTGTGTGTGTGTGCGTGCGTGTGTGCGCGCATGCAGCATGTATGTATATCTATATGTCTACATATATAAGTATATATGTACATGTATGTATGTATGTATATATGTATATGTATATATGTATATATGTATATTTATATATATGTAAGTATATTTGCATAAGTATATTTATGTATGTATGTATATATGTATCTACATATATAAATGTTTATATATTGATTTATATATTTCATTGTTAATATGTTTCATTTGAATACACACATATATGATTTCATATTCACTCTCAGATAGAAAAATGTACATATACTTTTATGAAAACTCATACTATACATGTGTATGTGTGTGTATACAGATTTTTAATATATGTATATTTAGTGTGTGTGTGTGTGTGTGTGTGTGTGTGTGTCTGTGTATCTGTGCGTGTGTGTGTGGGTGCGCGTGTGCGTGCATGTGTGCATATTTGTGCACGCACTCGTACATTTGCGTGTGTATGTGTTTATTATATGCATGTGTGGATATAGATGGACAGGTCTGTACACACTCACAAAAACAACCTCACCCTGCATATTCATTTGTGTATATATGTATACAATATGTAGTATATTTTTAGACACTGATGTACATTGATACTGCCATTGTCCCAAAATATAGACTCAGACTTGTTTGTCTGCTGATTCCAAAATGTATGTCAAGTAGTTCAAATCAGAAGGCTGGGAAAGGTTGGGATATGAGCTGAGGGGAAGAAAGCTTGAAAGAAAGGGGAGAAGGAAGCAGGGTCCCTCTGCCACCTGGAATTCCAGCATTTTCATTTTCCAAGTCGGGGAAACCTTGAAAAACTGAATTAGAAAAGAAAACTTGGAAAAGTAATGGAAATTTACATTGGGTGACTTTTTTTTTTCTGTGCCTTTTCATGAAAAGCAAATGTGGCATGATACAAAATGCAAAGAATTGTTTTATATTACACATTAGATAGCGGGGATTTGATTAGTTTGTTTTGTTGCAAACCTCTGTGGACCATGGTATTTATTGTTGCTCTAGTTGTATCATCTATTTCAGTAGTTTAGTGCTTGAATACAAGTACTGGTAAGAAGTTATGGTAGAGTATTGCTTGAAAATAAGAAGGAAGTTTATCAAAACTGTTATGAGAAATCTATTTAAAGCAGGTGTCATCCATTTTCACCTTTTGTTGTATACTTCTTAAAAACTATTTTGTTTAAAGTACATCCTTGAAAAATAATTTTTGGACCTGGAAAAATCATTGAATTTCAGATTTAAATAGATGGAAAGATAAGGAAGGCAGGTAAAAAATGTTGAAATGAGATTGGAAGTGTGAATCCATTTATGTATGCATTTATGTATGTATGTGTGTGTGTGTGTATATATGTATATTCACAAGTTTATTTATTTTCACATTTGTATTCATATTCATGTAGAAACAAATATATGCTTATGCTAACACTCATACATATACACATGTATTCATATATGAACAAGTGTTGTGAGTGGAACTTGGGGGTTAAGGAATAGTTAGCTTGGAACTAATTGTTGCAGTTATGATGCTTGTTGGCTTTTTTGATATTGTCATATGTTATTGCCTAAAACTTGAACATTGTTAAAAGAATGTAAGGTTGCAGTTTTTTGTATTTGCTTTTACTCTTTTTTTAACCTTTTTTTTGTGTGTAGACTGAAGTGTGAATAGAGGATTTTATAGTGTACAAAAGTATATGTCTTAAAAAACAACATAACTATTTTGCATATTTATGACAAATTTGGTCATCATGGATAAATGTGACCCTATGTATTTCTGATGCTTTTGATAATTTTCTGAATAAATTTACCACTGTGTGAGAAGATAATTGAAAGTGAGAAAACCACAGCATAAACACTCACTGTTCCAAGTCAGTTAGAGAACATGAAGGGGAAGGCGTAGAACAGGTATGCTAGACTCCGCTGAAAAAAATATACCTCTGGAGAGATAGTTATGTTGATTTCGTTTCTGGACCAACTGCCTTATTGTGGTGTAGTGTGGGAAATATTGAAGAAACGTGCTGTTGACATGGATGTTGAAGTTTTTTTTTTTAGGGGGGGTTAGGGGGGGAAGTTGAAGAAGTTTATCCTTGTGTTGGTAGTTTGTTTATTTGAGTATTTTCATCTAAGTTAGATAAAAAAAAAAAGATGTTTGTGGCTGTGGAGTCAGTAGTTGCATAAGTGGTAGAGGATGAAGTGTTGACCTTGCAAGCAGTCCTAAAATGAATTCATCTTATCATGATGAATAAGGAAGAATGGCACAAATGCTGCTTAGCTGCTATGTGATTCATTTATAGTTATGTTTCAGCTGAGAGGTGTTTTTCATTGGCTTTATTATTTCTGGTTGTTATTGTTCATTAGATTTGAATTGTTGTATTGCTGAGATTGAAATCCTTGTTATTGATATAGTTGGTCATCATTATTAATGAATTTTTTGTTGTCATTAGTGAATTTTCATAGAGAAAATCTCCAGTTATGCAACAGTGAGGCTGCAGACTTGTAAATATTCAACTGACATAATACACAAGACCTCTCTTTGGGAGAACAGAGGTACTTGTATGGCGCTTTCAAGAAACCAAGAGAAAGAATGCATAATAGATTTCCCTTTGATACTAGAGCTGTGGCAGGATACCCCTTTCAGTGTGCATGGCAAATAATGATGCCATATTGCAATTGGCTCCAATATGTATGTCATATAGTGATGCCATAGCCAATTGCTGAGGGAATTTGTTTTTCACTCACAAATTCCATATCACCCATGGGCTGCAGTTGGGAGATATGCCTGTCAGAAGTTAACCCAAACATTCAATTTATTTTTACCATTGAAAATGAAAGGAAAGGAGACAGGCAAACAACTTGTGCAGTATGTTAAATCAGCCTAACTAGCCAGTCCAGCTCATGCAAACAGAGATATCAAGCCTGTTTCCAGGGCCATCCAGCTGTTAAGAAATATTGTACAAGATGGGTTAAGTTATGATCATGATTGGCATTAACTGAAATACTGTAATTGCGTGGGGTTAAGCTGATGATGGCTTTGATAAGCCCAGGAATGGGCTGACATTACCAAGTATTTCTCTCCCCATTCCTCATCTGTCCCACTTGACAAGAGGGGTCACCTTTTCTACTCCAGTTTTGCAAAAAATACCACACCAACTCCAAACCCATCGCTACCGCTCTTCAAGGTGAGAATAATGATGAATAGTAATGTGTTCATTTGCTGTAGTGTACATACTTTTTTTCTTCTTCTTTGAGCTTCTAACTTTGTATTTCATTTTCCAAAGGTACTTGGCTATTGTGAAAAATCTTTACTCCAACCCTGATGGCCCTAGGCCATCAGTGAGGGAGCCACACCTCTGGACATTCTGCCAACCTTCCCAAATTTGAAGACATTGACTCAGATATGGAGGACTCTGACGACTCCAATGACTCCGACTGGAATATGGAGGACTACGACAACTCCAATGATGTCAGCTTCATGCCAGAGAAAGCATCTAAGACTGATGCTGAGTGGGAAGAGTTGGAGTACATGTCTGCTCATAACACGTCCATCAACTCTGATGAGCCACTCTCAGTTATTGCGAGTAGTCTTGCTAACTGGAACATTCCAGGGACTTTGGACTTTGTCTGGAAGAAGAGGAAGCCTTTCATGTGTCGTCATGGGTTCAAGGCAATCCCGGGGGTCAAAGCTGACCACCTGGATGTCACCTCGACCACACGGAAGATTCTTGACACCTTCCTGATGCTGGAGGTGTGGGAAACAATGGCAAGGGAAACCAATTGGTATGTGGAGCAGAGGCCATTCACCCATCTTCTCACATGAGGCAGAGAAGCTGCAGTCATTCTTTGGCCTCTGTCTGCTCATGGCCTACAGCCATGATTTCTCGACTACTGGTCGAGAAATCAGTTGATTTCCTCACCCGTCTTTGCCAAGAGAATATCACGATGCAATCCAGTCCCACATCCATTTCTCAGACAATAAGGACTCCTGGGCTGACACTGACCTTTTGTGGAAGTTGAGGACAGTCCTGGATGTCCTTTACAAGACCTTCAAGGCAGTCTACATCCCATGGTAGAAGATTGTGGTTGATGAGTTGCTGTGAGCTTACAGAGGATGTCACCACGTGATTCAGTTCAACCTGATGAAGAGGATGTGGTTTGGCATGAATATCTACCATCTGTGTGAGTGATGGTATTGGTGCTGGCTACACCATTGTCTTAATTATTTACAAGGACCAGGACCACAGAAATATGCCTGCCAGCATGAAGGCCACGTTTTGACCTTATGAACTGCACCTTTTTCTTTGAGCAGGGTTACAAGCTTTTCCTGGACAGCTGGTTGAGATCACCAACCCTTTTCCACTACTTGCAGTCGAGGAAGACCAATGATGTGGAAACAGTTCGGCTGAACTGTAAGTTCATGCTGATGGACCT